AAATCGATGCTGTACACTACCCGCTGCGAATTTTGGAAAACAGTTTTCAGCGATTCTAACAGAACATCATGATCTACGCGTAGATATGTTTTATATATATATAAATAATGTTTATTTCCTACAGAAAAAGGCTATCGACCCAATCGGTCTTTCTGCCCTTGTTTAGTATATATGTGCCTTAGCCTAGCTTATTCTAAAATTAATTCCTATTCCTAACACTCGTATAAATTAATCAGCTATACAAAGATTTGTTCTTATTTCTTAGTAAAACTCATATTTTGATGAAACAATCAAGACCATCCGATTTGGGCAAGTGGTGAATTCTTGAGTGTCGTGGTACAAAAATTACCAGAACTTTTTATTTGGTGGATGAAATCAACTAATTTTTTTTGGTTGATGCACTAATCATTTATTCACAATTTTGTGCTCTTTGCAAAATATTGTAGCATGCAGTTTTTGGGAAAAAAAATCTGCTTTCTTGCCACTTAACAATGTTAGACATTAACGGCAAATATCGTGATATGAGGCGCAAATTAATTGTCAATCAATCTCACAAATACGTTTCGAATGACCTTTTCTAATGAGGAAGTGACCGGTCAAAGTATTAAGGCTTTGCGAAGACAACTTGCGTGAAAGCGTAGGCGTTTTTACGCAGCTCGTATTTGTAGTTAATGTCTAACATTGTTAAGTGGGAAGACAACAGACATATTTTTTTGTGCAAAAACTATGAATGCTATCAGATTTTACAAAGAGCACAAAATCATTAGTGCATCAAGCAAAAAAAATGAGTTGATTTCATCCACCGATAAAAAGTTCTGATAGTTTTTGTATCACGACACTCAAGAATTCACCACTTCTCCAAAACGGCTGAATTCGATTGTTTCATCAAAATGAGTCTTACATAAGAAGAAATTCACAGCGAGCTTCACCAAAATACATCGTACCATTCCCATGATATTTCAAAAAAGATAAATATTTTGAAGAACTTTGACTATCGATAGTAGAGGAGCCAAACATTTTTTGTTAATAAAAGTTGGGTCAGATCGTCTTCTTTTGATCGAAAGAATATCGCAGTACCCTTTTGATCATGTGCGTACGGGACACCCTGTATAGTGTTGCTATTAAAACGTAATCTTCAGGCAATACATTTTACTGTTAATAACATAAGAAAACGCATAAACCAATACTTAGAAACCAGCTCTTCTCGCATTATTCAGGAAAAATTTGGAATATTAATTGATTAATTTTCTCAAATGGCAATGATGGCTCTGATTAAACTTCAAGCAAAGTACACTAAGTCCAACAACAAAAAACACCATACTATCATATTGTAATTTTAATTCAGTTAAAAGATTATTATTCAATTAGGGCAACGTTTGTTGATTGAAATAATACACATGAATATACATTTACACGTTTAAAGACTTTATTCACCTAGAGCAGTAATAAACTAGATTTCAAAGTGCATTATTTACATTTTCTTCTAGGTATTTGAATAAGCTTAAATAATAATATAAATTTACAAACTTTCTGCGAGACCATTTAAGACTTTGCAGAAAAACTTAATAATAAATTATCAAATTTCTCAACTATTTTAAACTATTCTTTATATGAAAAACAATAGGTTTTGTATTTTTATGTAATTTTTTTGCAAATACAAAACACACGCAACTGTACATAAAATACTGTACATCACATACCATTAAATTAATCAATAGACTCATTTATATACAGTCACATTCAAACAAGAATTCGTTCAGTACCGATATGAAACTAATAAATATTCACAGGAAGGTTATCATGATTTTTACGTCAATAGAAACAATTAATTCGGCTAATTTTAATTACAATAAGGTCTTCATATAAAATCAACAAAAATGTTGGAATTAAATCGGCTTATTTATATAACACTTTTCACAATAACCGAAATGACAATATAATTAAATGTAAACAATTAATTTTCAATCAGAGCATGTTTAGCACAAATAATAAAATAATCCCGATTCATTACAGTGTAATCCCAGCTTAAATAATAGAAAACTGCTCTTGAATACAACTTAACTAAAAAGTGTAATGTTGCGCTATTGCAAAATTTTCTAAAAAAGAAAAACAATCAAGTACAATAGAAAATAAACTATCTTCGCTTCTATTTATTTAAATAGCTAAAAACAAGACCATTTACATGGATATAATTACAAGTAGTCGAATTAGGTTCCACGGTGTATCTCTTTTTGTTAATGAACTATACTATTTTATTAATATTATGTATAGAAAATTACTGAGTTCCGAGATTAAACAATAAATAAGCCACTTTTAACTATATTATTTAAAAGTGGTAGGGTAAAAACAATGATTAGTTGGTCATTTGAAATACGTGATTTTTCACGTAAGCTTTACAAGATAACAACTATTATAGATCAAATTCAAATGCTCATCTTTTTCGAATAAAGATTCTTACATGGATGAAAATGCTAACACACAATATACCATAATTACTGCAAGTAATGGGTTTAAACCTTGATAAACCACAACCTTGCTTCTCTAACTGCGGAAGTAGTCGACAAACTATGCCAGCAATAAAAGAATTAACCAGCAACCTCTAAAGTACATGCTCTTCTGTCACTCAGCTAAGTTTTTTAAATTATGTTCTCTAATATCTAAACAGATCATAATATCCATATTGATGAATCAAAACCACCTATATAAAATTTACAAAGTAGATCTCTATAGGAACTAAAGTTAGCTTACTTACATAAAATACGACAGTTGAATATCAATGTTTTAAATGGCAAAATGTCACGTAAATACGTTTATGAAATAACATTTGAAATTTTTCATAAAGCGGTTTTAAACTTCTATGCGCTTAACAAGAACATTTCGTACTTTTTACATTTGGCATTGTGTTCCGAGATTCTTTTCAATCTCTCTGTGGGATAAACACTATCAGATAAGCTTTTCGACACAATTATACACTGTTGAAAATACCAATTAGTGAACGTTAAAACCTTCATACGATCTAAATACTAAACAACAGTGATTTACTTTTACATTTTCTTAGGTATCCCTAAGCAAAAAATTAGCGTTAAACCACGCAAGACGGCCCTAATTTTGCTTCTAAGCAATTAGTGTAAAAATTAGAAGAAAAAATTATTATTATCAGTGACCATAAATTGCAATTAAATATTGGTTAAGTATTATATTATTCTTGAGGTACGGAAATCATAATAATTAAATAACAAATGTAATTAATTATTATATATAATAAATTGATAATTATTGTGATTAATAAATTCATTATTTATGACTTTGAGATTAACATTATTTGAGTGTTTTTCATTAACAAAACTAGGATCCGTTGGCTTGAGGTAACTAGGTCAAAGAATCTAATGATTGAAACTGTGAGTTTTACGGGATTTTGGTGTGTCGTACAAGTGAATTTATTCCTGACGCAAGCACGAATGTCTCGAATCCTCAGGTGTTCCGATCGAAAGCTTACAAACCCTCCTGCTTGCCAAAACTCAAGAACAAACAATTTTCCACAACTGTATAAACGCCCGAAAATCGCACAAGTATCAAGCAGTGACCGGCAAAAGCCTAACTCTTTTGATAATCTATAGACTTTAGCTACAATACAATTACTTTACGGAACGGTTATCTGTTGCCTTTACTCGTTATAATCCCACCACTCCTTCTCATACCCTTCATGAACGTGTTCCAGAAGTACTTTCCTTCTACTATCACAGTATCTAGATAATAAAATGCACATTAGTCAATTTAATAATAATATGTTGTCGGTATCAAGTACCTGTATTTATCCTGAACTTTCTGCTTGATATCTGCTAAATTTTCAGACGTAATATCCCTCTCCAAGTACTCCGACAATGTCTCCGTGGCGCTCTCTAGGTCTTTTTGGTTATCTTCAAAGATCACAGATTGGTTATTTTTCTGTAGATAATAAGCAAACACATATGTATACATAAGTGTTTGTCTGCACTGGCATAATATGTCAACAGCGCGTTTCAAGAACTGTACTTCAATCCAGCTCATATTATGTTGTTGCATTTCTTCCATCTTTTCCTTTACGGACGCATACAATTTGTTCTCGAATTTTAGCGATGCCATGTGATTCATATATCTGTTGCAATAAAACAGATAACGCTGCAGGGCTGAACGGGATCTCTCTTGGGCATCTCGAGCCGCTTTTGCTTCATCTTCGTCATATCTGAATACATTTAAAAACAACGTTTATTTAGTCAAATTACTTACATTTTAGTACCATATTACCGGGTGATAATAAAAAAATGACAACCAAATTGTTACAAATGTGACATGAATATTTATTAAGTTTTAAAGTTTTTATTCGATTCTCCGTTAAAAATACTATATACATGTTCTGTTCCAATTTTATTCAATACTTTTAAGCTACTTTATTAAGAGTCAAACCAAAAAGGAAAAAATTGGCGTTACATGAGCTGAAAAAGCGTTCGATCGTTATTGCGCCAACGCTCGGCATCGACAAATCTAACGTCCAACTACCATCAAGAGTATTGATGAGCTCAGCCATACTGGTCGTCGTCCAGGAAGTGGCAGAAAGCACATCGTCAGAAGCGACAAGAACCGGGAGCTCGTCCGAGAACGTCTCAGGCGAAATCTGAGGGTATCAATGAAAAAAATTGCGCGTGAGACTGGTATCAAACGGGAATTAATCGGCCAAATAGCAAGAGAGGATTTCCAACTTAAACCCTACAAGCTCCAAAAAGCTCCTCACCGACAAGCGCGGACGGCTTGGAAGATACAAACGACTCCTTCGCTGCCACGCTCCCCTTCAGTGGGACAACATCCTCTTCACGGATGATAAGCTGTTCACCGTTGAACAAGCCCACCATCACCAGAAGGATAGGAGCTAGTCCGCGGAGGCCCCCGGCACATCGGCCATCATCAAACATCGCCAAAATCCCGCGGCCGTTCAGGTTTGGGACGGAATATGCGGACAGCGGCAAGACTCCCTCGTTTTCTTGAAACAGGGGGTCAACATCAACAAGGACGTCAACCACAGTGGGCCCAGCAGTACTTTCTCGATGCGGATTGGGCGTTCCAACAGGACTCGGCTCCGGCCCACAAGGCGAAAGCGACTCAGGAAATGCCGGACCCATTTTCCGGAAAACATCAGTAGGGCGAGATGGCCGCCGTACTGGCCAGATCTCAATCCGATGGACTACAGTGTGTGTCCAGGTCCTGTGCTACACGCCACAAAACTTTGGAGTCGCTGAAGCGGTCGCTCCGTCGGGAATGGGACCGATCGTCGCTGCAAGAGGTGCATGGCGCAGCAGAAAAATTGCGTTTGGTGCTATTCCGAGACGCGCAAGGAAGCCACTTCGACACTGGCTCAATATATTATAGTCAAAATAGTTATTTATTGGTCTTGATTGATAAATTTTGCCTTTATTGAAAATTAAACAATTCATGAAGTTTTTGCTAGAGGTCAATTTTTTATTGTCACCTTGTATTATTATTTTAAATTATGTTATTTATTATTATTGCCAGCCTTTGAGCAAAAGTAATAACAACTTGGAACTTTCCACAGATATGGGGATCAGTTTGTTTAAATTCTATTAGGGAACATTCCTAATCAAGCCGAAAACCTTTACATTTAAAGTTGTTTGCAACATTTATTGAAAAATTACATTAACAAAATAATGCATCAGAAACTGCTGCTTCAATAGAGTATACCTCAGTTACTTTTGAAACATCAAATTTCGGTTTTTTATTATTATTTAGAGTAGGTCTCTTTTATAATTTTATTAGTTAATATAAGTTGTATTTCTTGTTTATCAGCCTTCTTAGATTTTCTGTATTTGTGATTTATATTGTATATTTTCCATTGTTGTTTTTTGCTTCAATTTCAATTTTAATTTTCTTACACCATAGAATTAGTATAATTATTGACATGTTCTATACATTGTGCAACCAGAACTAATAAACACATTTGACTTTTTTTTATATATAAAGTCCCAAGATCCCAGTCTTACGCTGGGATTTTACCAATTGTCATATTTCTTGGCAAAAATGGTTCCTTAAACGCCATGTTAAGATAAAACAAACTTACATGGACCTTCAAGTTTATCTGATAATATTTAATTTTCTGATGTGTAGGAAAAAATAATAAAGCATGTTTAGAACTTCCAGAGTTTGTCATAGGATTAATCTAAATATAGGAAATTCCATTAAGATAAAATCGTTTTTTTGTTCGTCACATTATGTTGAGTGAAATTATTCTCAAGCAAATTCCAGCTCGAAAATTTCGACTCATAGCACGTGCAGATATTTGGAGGTCCAATATTTTTAGTGTACGCAAGCAGATTTTTCACGGAATTATTCGAAATATACGTGGTGGCGGGAAGCTTTTTTTAATATGTGACCAAAAATTATAAGAAATAATGATAAAATATGAAGTTTACACAAATAAATTAACGCCAATTAAGAACATTAGAAAAGTTAACATAATAAAGACACTAAATAAGTTATAATAAACAAAACATTTTTTTTAGATTTGAGATTTTTTAACTCCTGGTCTACTGTATCATGCATAAAGATTGATCAGATTTATGCATGATACGCTGCTAGTATTTATTGAACTGCAATATCAACTGCTTCTCAAACTTTGTCCACACGGAAATCGTCACCGTAACCCGATTTGCGCCGCTGTTTCTAATGTATTTTATTCGATTAAGTTAACCTCGATGCTAACATTTGCGTAAAACAGTCTTCAGTTTGAATAGAAATCACTTATAGAATACCTCCTGTACATACAGACACTTAAAAACTTGCTCCAATCATTCCTATAAGAGAAAGTGGCAAATTGCTTCAATCATACGAAAAACACATAGAAAAACGAAGTCAAAATGAAAACAACTTGTCACTATTCCAATTTGCATTGAATGTTTTTATCTATATTCATAGATACATGCAAGCACATAAAAAGAGAGTTTGATGTATTAATTTTTCCCGTAATAAATGCATCTTTAATACGTCTCCTAGATTACTTTATGCGTGTATCACATTGGAACATAGGCATAGGATTATAGAGAAATCCAACCATCAAATTTGATGACTAAGCAATTCGACAAATACACAAAATGTAAAATACATTTTTCCTCTGCATGATGGATAAACGAAAATGAAACAACACCCATTTCGGGCTCAAAAATAATTCACCCTCTACCAGTCACCCGTTGGCCAAGGTGGGTTAGTTAAAATCTGAAATGGAATCATGAATAGGCCAAGTGACATTTTGTTTGAAAAGCGTTTTGATTCTCTTTGCGCTCACACCTAGTTTAAATTATTTAATTTTAGCGGTCCGCAAACTATCAGCTGTTCTAACGTTTACAAATGTTATTGAATAATAGTGGCATTCAGGCAATACTCGAAGCGCCTGAAATAGCTGTTGTTTCGCTTGTGTTTAGCCACCGTGTATATTTTCTACGTTCTACCGCCTAATAATATGATATGAACGACAATATTCGATAAGACGTGCCTTACCTTAAGCAATGGAAAATTCGTCGTTTCTGGGTACTTTTGTACCTGCACGCTTCGGATACACTGTGCATAAATGAATCTCAATTGGAAATATGGAATTTACTACAGATCGATTATTTTTAAAGTACTACTTTTTGGCTTGCTGTATATAGGGTATCTCAGAATAACTGGACAATTAATATG